TTGGAAACAGCCAATTACCCTTTCCGAAGTTCGTATTGAGTCTGGAGTGAAGAGTCTACCGACGAATACACAGGGTTGAGCATTACAAAATCCTCTGATGTTTACCAGGTAGAATAGCCTTCCACCCTTGAAACTGCAACTGTACGAATTAACAAGCAAAAAGCCTTTTTCTCAAGGATCCGATTTAGTCTTTACTGCCGGGGCCACACGAACGCATGGTAAGGTAATAGCTTGCATCTTGTTGCGCATTGTTCTCATTTTACGACAAGTTCTGTAGCTCTTGCTGGGTGACTTGCTTCATTACCCACTAACTACCTCCCCCCCCCGAATAGAGCAGCGCTAGAGTCATCTACGTTAAAAGGTGGAGGGCTTGTACTATCTTCTAAGGAAACGGGTGAAATGCTCATCCCCTGGGAAGCTCTTCTAGAGTGTGAAGTAGCTTGCTGTCCTTTCAAGGTGTGAATGACCTGTTTTTGGTTTGTTGCATCGTTTCTACAAGAATGCATGCCCATGTCACGATAGTCTGGACAGGAAGATGGGGGTCATTATGGGCACTGCATTCATGCATTATGTTCATCAACAAGTAACTTCGGAAAGTATGGACTGTCTACCGCATTGAGATGCAAAAAGCACTGGACTGTTCAGCTGTGGGCAGCTGTTGCTAGCTACAAGGTGCCAAATTCTGAAAAACAAATCCCAGGTCTTCCGCGATTGTAAGTGGTAGAAGCGACGCCACCAGGAAAAAGCCTGAGGGTCGACGCCAATATATGAGCTCTAGAGCACGAAGGTATACGGGCCGTAATGTTTAGCCTGGAACTTTATTTGTGCAGTAGATTAAACACAAACGAACGACAAATGCAAGCACTGAAGGCCTCTAGCATCGCGTGGGGCTAGGATGGCGATACACGCCGAATTTTGTGGGGCCCAGGAGATATTGAGGCGAACGGAGGTGCCAACCAACTGCATGTAGGTCTACATATAGTCAAATATGCGTAAGTAAGTGAAACGACAGGCAAACATTTTACTGGAGGCGTGTTTGGCCCCCAAAACATCTGCGCCACTACCTGCAGCTGCAGTAGCAGTACATGCAGCAAGTGGAGCCTAATCTTTCAGTGCTGTCCTTCTCATCATTCTACAATTTACTGCAGCGTCTTTTCCCTCTGTTCCAGAATTTGTGCCGCCGAGACAGACGTCCTTTACCGGCGGCGGCTGCGGTAGCAGCAGCTGCTGCAACAGCAGTGGCAACTGCGGAAGTTGCTGCAGATGAGAGTGAAGAACTTTTGGGGCGATGGGGCTACATGGAGAGACTGAATTTCTAGAGGCGCTCCGGCGCCTCTATGAGGAAAGCAAATGCAGCAACACCGGATCTGTCTGGCTCACCTTCAAACGAAGTACCCCAACACTGCTCCGTAACCTTAGGCTGAATGCACGTAGAACTGTCTGTAGTCTGCTGATCATTGTCTTCTTAACTGGGCCTTATTACATGCGTCGTAGGCATCCTCATGCTGTGCACTTCCGAAACTGTGGCAGACCTGAGGCTCGAGGTGTGACAGTGTATGTAGCTCCCCGTCTCCAGTTTGCCTAGCGAGTGTGAGAAAATGTTCCAGTGGTATATACTTGTCTTCTGGATTCAGAGACTGTTTTAAGTAATCTCACAATACGATGCCTGCACCCTTGCATACTTCGCAGCCTTTCCCGAGGTTGGCGGTTCTAGAGGGGTCAAGAGACGCCGAAAGCTGCAAGGCTGTGAGGAGCAACCTACGGCAACGCCTGTCTGCCTCATAAGAGCAACAGATGGCAAGAAGAGGATATCCATTCAGGTGCATTTAACGTAACTCCTTACCCCTTACCCACCCTCAGCTGCAACATGCTCCTCCCGAGCGTTTTACCCACCACTGAATCAGAGATCTGAATGCTCTTGTTGCTTTAGAAGGCATTATGGCATCTCATTTTTGAAGTTCTAAATGTCTGCATTTGAGTGCAGATGTTTTGTAGTCTGAGGTGTATGCACAGGTTGACGGGGAGCGTGCTGCAGCCTTCAGCCATCAGCTTTTAGGTCTAGTACGGCTCCACGCTGATCAGGCAGGCTCACCTTTACCTGGGGCCAAGAAACTGAAGAAGCCGGTACAGGATCGGCAGCAAAAGCAGGAGCAAGGGTTGGAAGAAAAACGGCAACAGAGGCAAGAACAAAAACAGCAGCAGGAGAAACAGGGCGGTGAGCAGCACCAAAGCAAGAAGGGCAAACAATACAGCAGTTCGTTTAAGCGCGAGGTCTAAGGACACTGACCAGCAGCATGCAGCTGGTTGTGCGGCGACAGCTGGTGGGGGTGGTTTGCAGTGGCTGGCCTTCACAGAACTCATCAGCAACAACAGCGATAGTATGACTTCTTTTCTCTGTACATTATTATATGAAATTGTTGTTTCCTGGTTTGTGTCGGGCCCCTACCCGCTTGGTGAGCCGCAGTCTCACCATCTGGCTCCCCTTTCCTTCTCAGAGGGTTTGGCAGGTATGCTGCTTTCTGAAGTAGTAGTTTTGCTTGAATTCTTGCATTTTCGCTGCCTCGGTGTTGGAGGTGCGCTCAAGTTCCTGGAATTTGATCATTCAAGCCTAGACAGGCGGATGCGTGTGTACACATCCTTAGACGTCTAAGCTGCCTGTTTACATATACATATCTAGCAATAGAACTGCACAAATAAGTATTTGCCTTCCTGGTTATGCTTTATTGCTAGAACGGTGCGTGCAGGCGCGCACGGCCCTGTTTATGTGTTTTTACGATTTTATAATACAATATTGCGTAGTCACACTAGGTGTTTTTTGATTCTGCATGTAGATGATTTAGAGATTTGCAGGCTGCCGTGACCCAGAGAGCCAGGGAGATGAGGGGCTTGGAAGGTAGCACAGAGGGAACAGGCGTTCTAGAACAAAGACGGTTAGGCTTTGTGGGGGCTAGACGCAAGGGCTTAGGGAGAGGACAAGAGGTCGTTGAGACGTGCAAGGAGAACGAAAACGAATATATACAGCCCCTAATGACTCGACGGTTATCGAAAGGGAAATTAGAAATGAGAGCTTGGATGCAAACAGAAAAACCAACAAGTCAGTTCCATTTAGCATCCTCAATATATGTGATGTAGTAGAAAGTGTTCAAGTGTAGCTTAGCCCACTACGGCGAGGTGAATGAGCCTAGAGGCAACTGTATAGACCTACGCAAGTGAATAGGATGCAAGAATAATGAGTGCGCATGAAAGCACGAACAGAGAGGTGAAGAGAAAATCATGTATACAAATGGAAAGAGATATTAGGACTGGATGTAAGGCCGACTACGCAAGGGCTTGGAGTAGAGTTGTGAGGAGTGTAAGCCTAGAGACATACACAGCTAGCGGACTGTGACTAAGGGCTTCGTGTAGCATTGTCTCGACATTTGTATGGAGTGCATAGGGTTCAAGTGCATAGGGTTACGGATGTGACTCTAAACGACGAGCCTTAGATCATCTGTGAGCTCGCAGTATGTGCATACACCCTACTGCGAAGAAAGAGGACAGCTTTGAATAAAAATAAATCATAATGTAACACCAAGGATTAGAAAGTTCGTGCGTGCGGGTCAGCATGCTTCCCCTGGGGGCCCTAATTTCACGGGCCCAAGGCAACCCCAGCCACATTGCCCTTACCGCTGACAATGGCAGGAATGCTTTTGTAGCAGCATACTTTGCTAGTGAACTTCGTGAAGCTAATATTTCATGCAACTTTAGCCAAGCAAAACAATCCTGAGTCCCTGCTGAGAAAGCCCCAGGAATCCAGACATCACAAACTGACATATGGTGCTGATGCCTTCCTTAATGCCGCAATAATCTATTTACTGACGCTGCTGCTGCTCTTTTTCATCTATTCTCGACTCTACAGCATCTGTGCATGCTCTCAGCTGCTACAACAGCAGCTGTACCAGCAGCAGCTGCCTGCCCGCCTGTTCTGACAAGCAGCATACCAACTGTCGGTCCACAGGAGCAGCGGCAGAAGCAGCAGAAAATGGATATAAAGCTAGCACGCGGGGAGGAGCGGAATGCAGCTATTGCTGTGCTGCAGGAAGCGGCAGCCACTACAATAACCGGGAGGGCACCTGAGCGCGTCAACAAACAGTACAGCGACTACTCGTACGTATCACTTTTTCACTCGCGTAACGGCAGTAGCGACAGAGATGCTCTGAAGAGTTTTATTGGCACCGACGCTGGCGGTAGTACTGAGGGGAGATATGCAGCTGGACCCTGCTTGCAGCAGGCAGTGACAGAGCAACCACGATAACGCCTGCAGCGGCATCACCACTGACCGCCGTAGCAAGAACCTCAAAAGATCTATTAGCAGCAGCTTACGAAGCAGCTTTAGCACTATGAGCAGGCAAATACCCAACTATAGTAACAGGAGCCAATGCGCGAAGCAGCTGCACGCTAGGCAGGACATGTCGTGGTGGTAGCAACAAAGTATTGGACATGTCTGTCCCTCTGTATCCATGTCGTTAATGTTGGGTGTACGAGCGATAGAGGGCAAGCGTTGAAGAGTCTGTGTCCACTCTTCTCAAGTTTGCCTTACAAGGCGTCTCCATGGCCTTTTACTGCACTGAGTGTGTGTGTGTGTGCCTCTCCCGCTTTCAATGTGCCGCTGTCAACTTGCATCTGCCAATATCAATGCGTAGAGTTTCACTGCTTCAATGAATATCTTGAATTGCTTGCTTGCTCGTGTGCCTGCCCGTAGGCTGGATTTGGTGTCTGGGCCTTGTGGCCTGTTTGTAAACCTGAAGAATTTCATTAGTGTCTCCTTGGAGGCTCTACCAGCCGATGCAGCCCTAAGCGGCTCCCGCGTCTACGTCCATCTCAGCACAAATATTCACTTGACAAACGCCATTACAACAGCCCAAAAGAGGCGGCAAGCGTGTCGAGAGGGTCGAGATAACGGGGGCAGTGCCGAAAATGGAGAGCCTCCAGAAGTTGACATGATCACAAAGCCGACTAAGATGGCCATCGCTGTTGAAGGAGGGTTCGTCCACACTATGATTCCCTGCTGGTGACGGCATTTCCGTGGCTGGTGCTGTTACTACTGGTGCGACATTGCAGTTCCCAGGCGTCCTGCCGTGTGCTGGTGTGGATGCTTAGCTTTAGTGCGGATGGCGACCTAATCGACCCCGCTGGGAATTTTGCTGCCGTCGAGCCAACGATTACCTATCGGCTGTGTGTCTATACACCCGCGGAAACAGCACCCGGAGGAACTGCTGCTCTTTCAAAAAGCCTTGCCGAGCTATACCGCAGCAACAAGAGAAGTACCAAGCATCAAGGACAGAAGCGCTCTGAGGTAGAAGAGGAGGACGAGGAGCAGCAACAAAGGTGGCGTAGTGACGTTCTTCTGCTGCAGCAGCTGCAGGAACAACAACTGCAGCAGCTGGCGTTTCTGTCGCTGGAAGACCCTGACGTACCTGCTGTCATTGCTGCGATGGCGAAGCGCCTGTGCGAGATGAGGCATAGAGTGGCTGACGCAGCGCCTTGTGCAGCTTGGGTGGAGGAGATCTTCGTAAGTTTCATATTGCCATTTCTGCTGCTCTATGTTGCTGCCTTTTCCGTATGTGTGGGCAGCAGCTGCTCCTGCACTCCTTGCGTCAATGAATTTTCCTGTTGTTGCTACAGTCAGCTATCGTTGTTGCACGTTTATCTCCCCCATAGTGAGCTCTATCCGATATAGCCTTCCACTGTTTGCTTCATCTGGTGTGCGTTGTGTATTTGTCTCTCCTGTAGTCTGCTGGTCAGCAGCATGATCAAAAAACGAACAAATGCCATTCTCCTGCTTCGGGTGTCCTTCCCCCCTAGGGTTAATTATTGGGTGTGCATGTAGCTGCAATATGTTAATTCAGCCAAGCAAGTATGCGGAAGACTTACCAGTTGTTCCGAATCCACCAAGGATTTCTCCTGCAAACTGGAAATGTGCTGACTGCGGCGCCTCCACCAACCTCTGGCTGAACCTCTCTGATGGGTGCGCTGCTGGTGTTGTTGCTGCTGCTGCGGTAAAGAGTGCTTGAGCACATTTGCTATTTGTGTTGAGGGTCTTGGTAAGGCAGGTGCTAGTCTTGACGGTGATTTTTTTTATTTTGTTGATTGGACTTACAGATTTATTGGCTGTGGCCGGAAGCTCTACGGCGCAGGGGGAGGCTGTGCTGATGGGCGAGAGGGAGCCGCCATCAGACACTACAAGGTATCTTGTGCTTTTACTGTTCTCCAAGCTGCCTGACTGGCGCAGCTGTTGTTCTCCTCGCCTTCTTCGTTCATACGCGTGTTGCCTTTCTGCTCTCATACCCCTACCTTCTCGTTTGTCGCATTTCATCCACGTGCTTCGCTCGTGTCTACTTCTCTCTACCGCTCCATGTCTCGAAAACCTTCTTTGTTGTCGTCTCCAAATGTATCCTCGCGCTAACATCCTCATCTGCCCTCTAGTATACATTCCACACCTTTTCGCGGCTCTTATTACTTGTGTCTCGACCTGTGCTGTTCCCCTACTGCATTTGGATGCTTCGCTTGCTTAATGTGCACGCAGGACACGACCTGACGGTGTCTGCCCTTTTCACTGCCACATTGCGCCCCTTGACATTCACCTTTTTCGTTGTGATTGATCTTTCACCTGATCTGTCTGAATCTGCTGGTGTGCCTGCCTCTATGCATCCTTCAAGGCCTTTGGATCTCGGCCTCCACCTCGTTCGTCCATGTTACCTCTTTTTCGCCTTTTGTATGTCCGCCTCTGCCGCAGGAGACAGGGAGCATCTACCCGCTAATCGTAAAGCTTGGGACCATTTCTCCCGACTCGGCAGATGTATTTTCTTATGCCCCTGATGAAGACAGCACAGTTATCGACCCAAAGCTCCCAGAGCACCTTGCCAGATTTGGTATTGAGTCGCAGCAGGTAAGTAACACGCCTTCATGTTGCTTCTGGGGCTGTTATTGTGTGGACCACGGGCTTCGGGTATCTTGCCATGAGTAAGCGTTACTACTGCTGCTACTCGTGTCTGCTCCCTTAGATGTTTCTCTATGTCTACAAGTGCCTGCTAAGAGCTGCTCATACTGTCTGGTGCTAGGTGGTTTGCTGCCATTGGTGTTGCTCTCACAGCTGCGAAAGACGGAGCGTAGCACAAACGAGTTGGCGATTGACTTGAATTGCAAATACGACTGGGCTTCCCTCACGGCTGCTGCAGCAGAACAAGCGCAGCTGCAGAGGGGCCCCGGCAGAGTGGGGCTTAGGAATTTGGGGAACACATGCTACGCAAATGCAGTTCTCCAGGTATGCAGAGAGCATTAGGCAGAGAAATCCATATGGGCTAACGGGATCGCAGGCACGGAGCCTTGCAAACACGGAAAGAGGCGACAACCTAGAGAAAGGGGCAGAGTCAAGAGTTGTAGGGGCGACACAGATGATGCGGGGGACAGTGACTGGTGAGCTAGAGGTAGAATACTAGATAGGGGTGTATAGGTGAACAGGCGTAGAGGCCTCTCCGCTGGTTGGGGCACCAGTGGACGGTTGCAGTGGGAGGAGGGGTCTGTCGATGCTCGAGAGCATTGGGCTGAGAGACCTTTTGGTAGAGATGTGGGGCATGGTTTGGTATGTTACAGGCCCTTTTCAGCGTGCGCCACTTCTGTGAGAAGTTCTTATATCTATATGAACCAATGCTTTGCTGTCAAGGCCTCCATACAGAAGCAGCTGCAGTCACAGACCCCTCCAAATCTCTTTCCTTACAGCTGGGGGCTCTCGCGATGGCGCTGCAGACGCGAAGGGCCTCTTTACAGAAGGCCTTGGGATTGCAGCTACTACAGCAGGCGCTGCACAAGCAACACATTGAAGTTGACGAGAGGCAGCTCTTGAGTGGTACGCCATTTTTTAGGGTCTTACTAATCCTCCAGATGGGGTTTCGGAAAGCCTCGCGGTTTTCTGCATTCTGCATTACATTAATGGCAGCAGTCTCTGAATTTCTGTGCTCAGCGTAGCATTTGCGCGGGACGTAACTGCATGGGTATGCTGCTCTGCTGCTGTCACCGCTACAGACTTGCCTTACCTGGTTCATGACGCGGTATCGCCTCTCTCGCTTCGCTCAATATTTGGGACTTTGCATGCGGAATTCGCAACCAGCAGACAACAAGATGCAGGTCAGCCCCATGTTGCTGGTGAGAGCTGCTGCTGGCACTAGCCTGATGGGTGTGGCTTAGGAACATCTAGGGCAGCAGAAACAAGCTGTCGAACTGCTGTTGTTTTTCAGAGGAGTTTCTGTCCCTTTTTCTCTCGTGGGTTGGGGAGAGGGAGTCCGGAGACAGGAGGCAACTGCAGCAGCTCAAGCGTTTGTTACAGTCTGGGAGCCCCTCTCCTACAGCAGCTGCTGCTGCCTCAATGGGGATTACCACGGAGACCGTAGAGGCAGCGGAAAGGGCCATGAAGAAGGGGACGGTGGACTCTTTGTTCTCGTTCGGGGTGGGTGTAGTGTGCTGCCCTGCACCTAACTGTTGCTGCTGCTACATTTACGAATGCCCTACTATGTGGGTCCACTTGTGGGAGCTTGCGGAAACTGTGCGTTAAGCCAGATGAAAGCATCATCCATCGTGAGGTTTGTTGCTAGTGAGGCTGTTGCTATTGTCCCTACTGGCATTTGCTACGTCTGTTGCTGTACTTACTGCTGTTGCATGTATATTGGCCGCAGGTAGAGCAGCGGCTGGAATGCCACCAGTCACACAAAGTTCGCTACACCTACAGCCGCCAGCAGGTTTTAGCTCTGCCAATCCCTGTGGATATACAGCAATATGAGGAACAGAGGGAGCAGCACGAGCAACAGGATCAAAGACAGCAAAAGAGAAGGAAGGGGGTTGGAGGTACCCCTACAGAGTCAGACACAGGGACCGATGCGGTCGTTGACGGCACGGAAACGGTGAGCTGTGCTGTTGTACTGCCAAATACTTAGCAAGGGCATATAGAGCGAGCTTTTATAAGTGGACCCAGGAGAACGATTTCCGACAAGTGCTAGTTAGAGTGTATATGCCCTGCCTGTGGGCTCTCCGTTACGGCCTGTCTTTCGAAGTAATTTCCTTTGTTCTTGTTTATTTGCATCTTTCTTCCTTCATAATTCTACAGGTAACTTGCAGCACATATTTTATGTCTTATTTTTGCCAGTGGACGTTTTGTTTGTGCAGCGCGATGAATCCGAAGAGGCGGCGCCTGCTCCTCCCTCTGTTTCCTTCTCCAGGTGTATCGCTGCAGCAGCGGCTGCTGCAACAGTAGATGACTACCTCTCGCCCGCCACTGGGGAGAAAGGCAGCGCAGAGAAAACGCTCCGGCTGACAAATTGCCCGGACTACCTCCTCGTTTTCCTAAAACGATTTTATATCAGCGACCGGTGGATCCCGAAAAAGCTCAAGTGCTCCGTTCAGGTATTCGCCGGAACTCTAGGATTAAGAATTTTGGCTCAGTATGGGTTTGGGTTTAAAGACCTGGGGCTTGGTTTAGGCGTTTTACAGGCTATAATGTCTTTTGGTGGTTTCGAAGTCTTAAGATTGTTATGAAGGGACGGCTATCGCATTCCATGGGGTTTTGTTTGAGAAGATGTAGACGCAAGTTCATTGCAATTGCGATGGCTGAACAGATTCCTGATGAGGTGTCCTTTGAAGAGCTTCGCGCGTTTGGCCTCCAATCTGACGAAGTAGAACTACCCGACACACCGCAGCAGCAGCAACAACAACACAACGGAAACTCTTTGGCGGCGGCCGCTGCTGCCGAAACGATAGATTCGGAAGTAATGGCCACATTGCAATCTATGGGCTTTTCCAGCAACGCTGCTCAGTAAGAGAAAACCTTACTCAGCCATAAAAACAGAGATATGACACAATCGTGGAGGTTTGTAGAAACACAAGCACATGTAGTTCACGTAGAGCGAGGGAACAGTAGGCACTCAGCGAGCCACGGAGTTCCGGAACATGAGGCATTATATTGTGGAAGCAGACTTAATTGTGCTGGTCTTGGCTTTGGGGGCTTTGCTTTTCCTTTTTAGACGAGCCATTCGTGTCACTGGTGGAGCCTCCGCTGAGAGCTGCGTGGAATGGCTGATGGGCCACCTGGATGATCCGGAGATAAACGACCCTCTTCCTGTCTCTTCTCCATCCCATGCACCAGCTGATAGTAAAGGAGAACCAGACGCTGAAGCAGTTGCTAATCTCACTGCACTTGGCTTTGATGAACGAAGTGTACGCGCGGCTTTCCATGCCACCAGGTGCCCTCCCTCGTCTGCCGGGGGGCCCATGGGGTCTATGGCACCTGCCAGTGGACTCTTTGATGCCGGAAGAGCAGCAAACTGGCTGCTCTCTCAGGGTTCTGGTCTTGCTGCGGCAGTGGATGAAGCACTTGCAGCCGCAGCAACTGCTGCAGCTGCCGCCGCTACATTGGCAGAGCAGCAGAACGAAGACGCTCGCGAGCGTCAAGCAAGCGCAGCAGAGGAAGAGGGATTGCCTCCTTTGGAGCGTTGCCGTCTAGGGCTTGGGGATGGAGCAGGACGCTATCACCTGTTTGGCTTTGTGACTCATCTGGGCTCCAGTGTTTCGGGGGGGCACTATATCTGCCACGTGCGAGACGAGGATGGAGGGGGCTGGCTGCAATATAACGATGATAAAGTTACGAAACTAAACTCCTGTAGCAGCGATCAGGCATATATACTGCTTTTCAAACGAGCACATTCAGATGCCAGAGACACCACGGAGATGGGAACAGCAACCGAACCAGAAAAACCTTCAAGCCGCGGGTGAGTCGTGTGCGGTCCGTTGATTCGTCCGCCACACCACGTATTCTCCCGCCGCCACCACTGCATACGTCCGTTTAATATTGCCCTTTCCAATTTGCCCTCAACCCCACTCACCTGCCGCTTGTATCAGTCTCATCGCTTCTCGCGGCTGATGGCTCCTTAGGGGGAGGAGCCTCTCAGGTGCCCCAGGCTGCGAGTATTGTTGGTTTCGTCACAGCGGTATTGTTCCTTGTATTACGCCTGGCCCGATGTAGCAGGGTCATTTACAGCATGTGCTACTGCCACAGCTGTTGCGGCCTCACTAAGTTTTCTGCTGAAAGAGTTACGCACTCGGGCGCTCTTTCAGCTTTACGCAGTTTCCGCAGGAGCTAGAAACAATAGCAATAAAACCTTTAGTAAGAGTGGACGTGGGCATTTTCGAACTCCTGCTGCTGTTGTTCTTTTTACTCTGCAAAGACGTGAACCGCGGGCACCTAAAGGGCAAACTGGCCCCTAGTTCATGAATTCTTCTAAGTGGATTGTGTGCATACGATCTCCCGCCTTTCTCCCACCGCGCATACCACCCTGCCTCTTCGACGGAGTTGCTGGATAGGCCGTGCGGCAACGTTCAACTACGAAATAGTATACAAGTGACTTTGTGGAGTGTCTTAACGTACATTTCTTCTGTTGCAAAGTACTGTTTCCTCAATAATAGCAGGCGCAATTTGGGGTTGGCGTGCCGTAGATGCGATGTCAAACTAGCTGCGAATGCTCGGAGTGCTACTAGGGTGCAGCTCCGCACCCAGCAGTCCCTCATTCCTCAATTCTGTACCTCTGGGAGGCGCGAGTAAAGGAAGGCGAGAGTTCTTTTGGGAACACTCAATAAGCTTCCACAGAGTTCTACATGCGTCTGGAGTTGAGCGCCTTTTGACGGAGGCCGTAGATGGAATTTTACAGCTGCTAGCACAGCATTGATCAATGCAGCTGTTCCTCCTTATCCGCAGGCTCTGGACGCAGTGGAATGTCAGATATCTCTACGTCAGTAGTCTAGCTTCGGTCAAGTCGCTTGGTAGTATAGTAATTTGATTTTTGGCAACATGTAGAGAAAATATTTACTGACAGTGGAAGCTGGCGGTGGCATAATGCGCATTGAGGTCGTACAGGGTGGAGAACATGTGACCGCAGGAGCTCCACAGGGAGCGAAAAGGCCTGAGGCCTCAGCCCATAAAAGTCTACGGATCTGTCGATGAGGTCATGCGACTAGAAAAATGTGGTGGCTGAAATGACGAGCAATTACGTGAAGATGTTCTAAGCCTTTCGGAGATGCATTTCGCTTTGCACCCCACAAAAGTACGAAATGGGAGTCCCTTGCGGCTAGGTTTTCATAGGGATAAGCCTTTCAATGTTGGTCCCGTTGGTGTAGAGGAACTTGTCTACCCGCACGTATTACTACAGTCCATACGTTCATACAATCCATCGCAGATCGCTCTGTGCCGATGTCGACTCAACAGCGAGGTTTAGGAGAATTGGGGTGACAATTAAAGCAATATAATCTATCAATGGGTCACTTCATTGAGAAATGGAAAACTGTCTTGCGCTAAAGCCACAACGCAAACAAGCAGCTCCTTTACCACCGGCTTACTTTATTACCCCAAGTGTCACGTCACACAGTCGCAGGATGGCCAGTGACACGGCAATTGAACAACCGATTTCTGAAACTTTCACGAATCAGCGAGCATCGACGTACCAGGAGATCATGAGTATGACCCCTGCTTCTTGGGCTTGAAAGTAAATTTTCATTTGGGAGTTAAAGCTTCTAGATGTTGGGGATGTGACATTCCGCTCTAGCATACAGTCTTAAGTGGAACAGGCAGAAAGCCTAAGGGAACCAGCGCTCCTCAGTATCCTCATACAGCTTCTAACAAATCATCCGCTTCAACGATTAATTGGTACACATAATCCGGCAGTGCAGGTACAAGCAAAAACTCTAAGAGCTT